ATTGATTGTAATATAGAATTGATCCCCCACTTTATATTTACATTATAATTCATTTGTTGATAAGCCATAGAAAACGAATCGATCAGTCAATGAAATACTGATTAGCTACACAGGCCTGTCTTTTGGATTTATTTACATTCTCTGGAATATATGCATAGAAACAAACATGAACACAATGTTCGGGATCAGTTTATATGTTAATTGTAATATGGAACTGATCCCCCACTTTACATCCACATTATAATTTCTTGTTTATCAGATTCTGATTGAGTATGAATTCACTTCTTCTTCCCCCTGCTATGGATTAATTAGTTAAACTTGTATCACTAAATCATTGTGTGTATGTGTATATATGTATCTGTAGATGTATGCATACTTCTATATAAAACGGGTTTTTTTCTCAGAACAATGATTAAAAATATCTTGAAACGAATAAATTCTCTGGCTGTTAAAGAAGAGGGTCTCTTATCAAACTCTATTGACTGACACTACAAAATCACAAACAAATAAGAAAAAACACAACTTATACACTAGCAACAGCAATAACGACTTCATTTTGTAACACATATAACTAGGAAATAAAATAATAGTATAATCTAGATTTTGATTTTCCACACAACCTTGAACAAAAGGTTAGGAAGGAAACTCCCATGAATATTAGAAAGAGCGATAACAATAAACCGTTGCTGAAAACCTCTTTTAAGAAAAAGATTTTATAAATTTCACCGACATAAATATTATCTAATCGCATTGAACGTCGAATGTTTCTTGTATGGAAACGGATAAGCTTACCATTGCCAATAAAAAGTTTGTAACTAAAAAAAAAGTTAAAGCCTAAATAAGAAAAAAGACTTTCGGTGCTATAAGTTTCGATATGTATGATGTGTAATGGTTAATGATTCGGAATTTATAATCGGAGTTCCAATTCCAGTCGGGTTCATTATACTCGCTTACACGCAAATACTCTTGGGAAAAGCATGAATCCACCTGTTCTCCCTCAAGATATGGGTTAATTAGTAAAACTTGTATCATTGAATTATTATTATCTCCAAAATTAAAATTGTATACAAAAAATATTTAGATTTCGGCATTAAATAACCCATAATGGTGTTGATATGCCGCTAAACAAAAACAACCAAAACGTAACATATATTTGCTTTTCTGACCATATACCAGAGTTATCTGCCCTTACAAAAATGGCGAACTTGATTCGTTGACTTGATCTGTTCTTTTTCTTGTTATCATTTCAGGGCAAGCGCTGTGGTGGTTGCAACGAGATAATTCGTGATAAATTTCTCCTGAAGGTCGACGATCAATACTGGCACGTGAGCTGCCTGCGTTGTTGCGTGTGCAATCTGGCACTAGAGGAACAACAATCGTGTTACTTAAAACACGACAACATCTACTGCGAGTTTGACTATACCAAGTAAGAATCAACATTTTCTTCGTTTCCCTCGTCCAATAATATCGAGATACAATTACGAGTCAAATATATCGATAGGTAATAATATATCCGCACTGTTGTCTCAGTAAAAGATCCTTTATCTCCTGATCAGTGCCAACCATTTCCTTCCTGATTTTCAAGGCATTGGTATGTTAATTGCTATAATAAATCATTAGCAATGCATTTATATTAAACACCCTCATTCTATTACTAATGCTTGCATTCATTCCTGGCCACTGAAAATCTCTTTCTTATTGATTTTCAATACATTTCTATACAGAAAATCATTAACAATAAACTTACATTATACACAAAATAGACGTATTGTATCAATAATTCCAGACCATTGACAATCCCTTTCCTATTGATTTTTAGTGTCTTTCTAGTAAAAAATTATTAGCAATGGATTCATATTATATCTTCTTCATTTTCAATGCATTCCTATAGTAAAATCATTAGCAATGCATTTCCATTATACATATAATAGCCTTATTCTATCAGTAATGCTTGCATTCATTCCTGACCACTGACAATCCCTTTCTTCTTCATTTTCAATGCATTCCTATAATAAAATCATTAGCAATGCATTTCCATTATACATATAATAGCCCTATTCTATCAGTAATGCTTGTCTTCATTCCTGACCACTGACAATCCCTTTCTTCTTCATTTTCAATGCATTCCTATAATAAAATCATTAGCAATGCATTTCCATTCTACATATAATAGCCCTATTCTATCAGTAATGCTTGCGCTCATTCCTGACCAATGACAATCCCTTATATTCTGATATTTATTGCATTTTTTATTTCTGGACAATGCATTTCATTCCTGAATATTGTAGTCTTATTCTGTCCAATAAATAAATGAATGAACAATTTTATTTTAATTATTAATAATTACTTTTGTTAGATCACTTTATATTATTTAGTTCTGTATTTGCAAGGACTATATATATATATATATATATATGGATATTATTGCAGAATACATTTTAGATGCATCAAGGGTGGTCTTCAGTGACACACTGTGCTCATCGCCGATTTCGGGTTTTGC